CTCGGTTCCGGGGGAGGAGAGAGAGGGGGAGACGGCCCCCCTCTCTTTCTCTCACTCGCGCTCGTGGCTCGTCACGGCTGACTCTTTGGACTGAAGGGGAGGCTTCACGTGGCGTGGCGGGGCGCGGTGGGCCCCGCGGCTGCCGGTCCGGGCCGGGGGTGTAGTCAGTCTGTAGGGCAGGAACTTAGAGCTCTCTGTCGGGCTTGTGGTCCTTCTAGCTGTCCCGCCGCGCTAGTAGGGCGTGGCGCAGCGTAGCGTCACCACCATCAGCTCGTGAGGGATCTCTCACCTCCTCCGCGCCGCAGTCTGTGAAATGCGGTGCGTGGGTCCGCTCTCATTTCTTATGCAGACGAGGAATATAGTGTCTCACTCAGAGCGGGCCGCGAGAGCGGGGGAGGCAGGACAGGCCTGACATAGTCGGTCCTCGAGTCGTAGGACAGGAGGCACTCGGATGCCCAGTGCAGGCGTCCTCCCGAGCTTGCTCTGCTCCCCGGGAGGACCAAGCTTTTGCACCGGGCGTCCGATTCCCTTGCTAAGTTGCATCATCCATCTTTTCTCTCATCAGCCGCGCTTTTTTTTCATTCTCTTGTTATATTCAATTTTTCCTGTCGCTTTGGCGCTCCATGGTTAAGCCTCTCCTCCGTAGCCCTTTTTATTTATTTTCACTCCTCTTTGCATGATCTATTTCGATGCGATTGTAGGTAGACCTGTTTTTCCAAGTATCACACAAAAACGTAATTCCTACTAACATGCACGATGATAATAGTCTCTACCGGCGCCGTTTGGATTTTACTCATTTTAGGGTAACCTAGTTTGAACGGCGATAGTCAATCTCTCTACTTTCGCTAGAAAATCAGTCGAGTTTTCCTTCGCAGCCGATTTAATGCTAGAAAATCGGGAGAGTTGCATGTAGGTTATCGTTGTCCGGCTAAACTCGCTCAGTTAAGTTAATCTTCTTAGTTCTCTAATCGTTGATATCTTCTGTTTCCATTTTCTCTAGTCGTCTATAGGCCGGTCTTTCCTCTAGGCGGGATCTAGAATAGAGTTTGTGTACCTGTGGTCGGCCGGGCACTGGTCGGTGTGCGGCTGTCGGAGGGGTGGGAGGCACTTGCACTCTCGCCGCCTATGCTGTCCGCTGGAGGACTCTGGATCTCTGGACCCCAACTTCCCGTCTTTGCAGGAGGACTGGGATGCGTGCCGCACGGTGTACGGCGCGCTTAAGCACCTCGAGGACATGGTGGAGATGACCAGGATCACGCTCATCGGACCTGGCTGCAGGGAACGCATGACCAACGGCCTTGACACCATCCTGGAGAGGGTCCAGGACTTTACCGACTCGGCCTACACGACGCACGAGCACCGGGAGAACATCCTCCTTATCTGCGATAGGGCAAAGCTCCAGCTCAGTCAGTTACTCAGAGTGGGCATCAGTATGGTAAGTGTTCCGTTGTCTCCAACCGAGCACGAGCACATTGGTCTGGCGTCGCTTTGTCACGGGTTGTTGTTGTTGTTGTACACCAGGACCAGGTGGAAGGGACCTCGCCCACCGAGGAGATGGAAGTGGCCATGCTGGGCCTGCTGCAGGCTGTGCGGGACATGAGGGTGCAGCTGGTGCGCACCGTGGTGGACCAGACCACGGACCTGCAGGCCACCACCAAGACGGGCCTCGAGATCACGGACGCCATCAGGAACTACGCGCTCGCGGCCGACACGGAGCGGATAGACGAGCTGGGCGAGAGGTTCCAGGAGGTGCTGGATCACATTCTGGAGGTAAGCGGCGGCTGTCTAGAGCCGTGTGAGCAGCTTGACGACAACATCAACGAAACGACAAAACAACACTTCAACACCACTTAAAAAGAACAACACAAAAAACTTTGTTTTTAATCTGTCCGTAGGTGTGTAAGATGCTGAGGCACATTGCCTGCACCGACACGCTGCAAGTCAACACCAGGTACGCCGAGATCAACCTCAGGATATACGGGCCGCAGGTGGTGACGGCGGCGCAGACCCTGGCCATGCACCCACAGTCCAAGGTGGCGCGCGAGCACATGGAGGGTAAGATTAACACACAAAGTCCAAGTTCATGGTTGAAAGGTCATCGACATTTCTGATCGAAACTTGTCAACCTCAACCCAAGTTAGGCAAATTTCAGCCGAACCAAGTCGACCAAATCACTCAAAAGAAATGCGTCGAAATTCATTCAAACCTTCTTCGCAGTCGGTTTTTCTCTTATTTGATTTGCCGCGATGTCGCTTGCCCCATGCATGTAACACTTGTGTAATGTATAACACCCGGTGTGCTCTCAGTGTTCTCGGACATGTGGCAAGCGCTGATGACGGATGTGAGCGCCGCGTGCCGCGAGGTCATCGAGGTGAGCCAGGCCCGGGGGATGGACAAGCACGTCTACATGTCGCTGCCGAGGCCGGGGGTACGTAGAGAGGAGCGGTCCGCTTCGAGGTCGTCTGTTTGGCGCCACCCTCCTCGCCACGCTCACGCATGTCGTTTTGTCGCGCAGAAACACGGCACCACCACCAAGCCGCTCAAGTCCGTGCGGCTGGACCCGGAGGAGCAGGCCAAGATCGCCAAGGCCGGACTCGACATGAAGCTGGCCAGCAGCGAGATGGAGGCGGAGGCGGACAAGTGGCGGGAGTCGGAGGAGAACAACGACATTGTCAAGCGAGCCAAGAACATGTCATCCATGGCCTTCTCCATGTACCAGTTCACGAGAGGGGAGGGCGCGCTCAAGACCACGCAGGACCTCTTCACGCAAGCCGAGTACTTTGCCGAGGAGGCAAACAGACTGTACAAGGTCGTCAGACAGTTCTCCTACCAGGTATGTTTGGCAGCCTAACACCCTTAACCCCGTCACCTCTCCCCACCCCGCCCCTCCTCCCCCCACCATCCGATGCGGTCGGGGGAGGTGGGGTGGGGACTCTCCCCTAGCAGTGTACAGAGGAGAGCCTGTCGCACCATGTGAAGCCAAAGGGGCACGCGCGGTAGATATCCCCCCCACAAAGGTTCGCCGGTGACTGGGGCGGGGAAAGAGAACAAATTCGTTCCAACCTTTAAAAGAAATAATATTGTGAGTGAACATGTGGGGATGTGCCTCGTTGGCTCGATTAAGTGTTAAGGCCAGCACGCCACTTGTTTCGGGGAGTTTCACTCGTTTGCTTCATTTTTTTTCCCACCATGAAAGGCATGAATAGAGCCGTTTTGAGTTCGCCGGTTTTGTGGTGTTGTGGCCCTAACGCAATTTTGTATGTTACTCAGTGAAAAATCACACTTCTCGTTGACCTGATTAGTAGAAAGAATCTAGATGTGGAAGCACGACATCAATATGTCTTAATATCGTTTTAAAGGGATTGTCCTGTTCAAAAAAAATGTGACCGACCCTAGTCAGGAAGTGTGATGTTCACAGGAATCTTCTACTCTGTTAACAAAGCATGCAATAACTTAGCCTTATGTAAAATCGTTTTAAGATTGTTACATTTCCTTTCTCTTTCTTTTCTCTTACTTATTTTTTATTTCACACCCTGCTGAGCATTTGTATCTTTCTTTTCTCACTACCATATGACGCAAACTTCTCACTAACGCCGGGAAACTGTTTTAGTTTCCTGAGTTTTGTCCAAGACAAGCCGTCGCTTTGAGCGGCACACACAACAGATATGTTTTTATTCAGTATGTTCTGATGACGGCTCGTCTTAAGGCACTTAACACAGGCAGCGTTATTTTTCTCAATTTTTGTTCGTTTATGAAAATTGTGAAGTCCGTTTACGCCACTTACGTGAAGAAATTCTTTACCTACTGGCTGCCGAAAAAAAATCGTTGTGTTAGCCAATGCCGGACATTCCGCTGCCGAATTGACTTCTTTCCTCTCTACTTTTCTTTATCCTTTTTCTCTGATATCTCATTATGCTCCTAGCGAACCATCAGACAGCCTTCATGTAGTTCCCAAATTAGAGCACTCTCACTCAATTCATCTTACAATTTTTCCACGTCGTAGTGTTTTTCGATGTAGACGTTTATTTTCCGTTAGTCACGATAGCTATAACTGAATAACAGGAGAAAACTTTTACTTTGTGGCTCATTATAGAGGTAGACACACTGCAAGCATTTTTCACAGTACATTTCTAAGATATGATTTCACGTTTCTCACTCCTTGTACAGTTCAGTTCCACAACCACAGCGAAATCTTAAATAAGTTACATAATATCTGCCACAAAACGCTTTAACTCGTTCAAAAAGCTCAAAAAGCACTTTTTTGGAGCCTTTAGCTCAGATTACTTCTCGCCAACATTTTGTTACATCACAATTTGCTGTTATTTCATATGTTTGTGTTACGTACACTCGCAGAATATAGAACTACACTTGTGTTGCTCAAAATATTCATGAAGTCATTACCTTCATTTACGTTTCATAATTAATTTTAATCACTTGCTTCCAATAATATATCGGTAGGGCAATGGATTCTTCGTAAGTAAAATGTCTTTGACGTAGATTGTGCGTGAATAGATTGTCAAAATGTAATTCCACAAAATCGAACGAAAAATAATAGACTGTATTCCCATTGTAAGCAGATGAACGACCCCGCTTAACTACCGTTCCGAAAAAATGATGTAAACTAAAATACCACTATAAATAATCCTTGTTCAAACTTCTAAATCACCGATTGTACGATTAAACTGTCTTTAGAATCCTAGTTGTGCGTCGCTGTATGTGTAAGAACTGAGAGTTAAACACTGTGGAGGAAAATGTCCTAGTTTGACTTCTGTACTGTGTTGTAAAGTAATGTGATTTTAGCTGCGTCAGAATTGTTTGAAATCTATGTAGTCCCTTTAGCTCTGGTAAAACACCCAGACACCAAAGCATTGAAAGGCCGCATTTTCGAAAAATTTCTTTTTTTGTGGTTTGAGTTTTTGAGCTTGCCCCTGCTGGACAGGCCCCACAAGATCTATGATCTACTACGATACTCACTCGAAGTATTAATACCATCAGGCCTGCTGTACTCTGACGCGGTCTCTGGGTGTTTCGCTGTTCTGTCTCTGTAATGGTCTTGTCCGGACTTACCTCGACTTCCTGCTGCTCATTGGATCCTTCTTACTCTTGCTAGCTCTGTCACCTTTGTGAGCCGAACTCATTTCACAAAACTAGTCCCTGCTGGTAAAATGTGAATAACCAGCGAAGAGATTAATTCTTCTGAATGCTTTATATATTTTTGTGTCCAAATCATCGGCAAGTTTAAATATCTGTAAATGATTTTGGCTCGATGGCGACTACCTCGCGCTGCCCTGTCCTGCCCTCCCCGCACATCTCTCTGTCTATTTCTTTTAGGCCTTCAACTGTACGTATCTATCGTAGAGCATTCTACTTTTGTGGCTTGCCTCCTCCAAGTTTTACAGTTCTAGAGGCCGCGGCCCTTGGACATCAGGTGCGGGGTCCCACCCCGGGCTTTGATTCGCTATGCTTATCTAGCTTCAAATGGACCTCTAATGGTTTGGATGTCAATTCTTTTCTACTCCAAAATGTGTTTTGCATATAAAGAAAAAAACAAACATGGAGGTGTTATGGCATGCTACTTTTTGTAGTCCGCTTAGATTCACTTGTTTCCAATCTTTCAATTTTTAGCTTGTTTACCTTAGCCTTTATATAGTACTCTCTTTTGAAGCCAATCTTGAAACCTTAATCTGCTGTTGCCTCCAATCTAATGATTCAAGTCATGCCCACAATACTGGAACATATTGCCTTCCGCAAATATGCCCTTAATATGATGGTTTAGTGTTTTGTTAGGTAGCGCAGAAAATAGTAGAGATAACTGTGTATCGGGAAATACCCACTGCGTAGTGCATTAGGCCATTCAAGCAGTGGATCAGGCACGCTCTTAGTCTGCCGTGGTGTGGATATCTGCCGGGAACTAGATCGTTGCTGCTCCTTTAGCACGATAATTGTCAAAGCAACTTTACTGGAAAATAACTCTTGCTTGTCTTATAGAGACACTCCATACTTTCATTTACAAATTTGTAGCCAGTAAATAATTCTTAGCGCTCGAGCCATTTTCCAGTAAAATCGACGTGTAATATTCAAACTTTGTTAAATTCGACTGAGGGAAAAGGGAACTCAAAAAATCTCCGTGTGCAGTCCAGCTTTAAGGACGTTCCATGCGTAACGTTAAGGGGAAAGAAGTAATAATCCAATTCTCTATTCGTGCATATAGATATATTTGCGAGGAGCTCACGATAGTTTTGGCCTCAAGTCCCGCTGTTTTTTTTTATCTTAGAAGAGCAGACATTTCTCTTTTGTCACTTTCGCCGACTGCAGCCCGCTGGCTACACCAGTCGAGGCGGGGCCTGCGGACCAGACGCGAGCCCGCGAATAGCAAGCTGCGCCCGGCTGGGAGGACGGGGGCGGGACGGTGACGGTTTGTGCGGTCAGAAAGGGGGGAATGAAGGTCCCACTCTCTCTATGACAAAGTGCTCAAAGAAAAAAACAGGTGACACGCCTACTATGAGAGAGAATCGTTCAAACTGGTTGCGACGACAACTCCCATCCAAAAGGGGCGCAGTAAATGTGTTGCCACAACTTTGTCGCCTGGAAAGTTTGGTCGATGAAATTGGCCCCATTTTCGTTTGTCCCGTATCCAAAGGTCGTCGATTTATCCGCGTTATTCGGCTTGGCCTCACCCACTCACTCTCGCACAGCCCGCGCCGCTCCGCCCCCAGCCCACTGCCCCCTAGGGCCCGCCCCCCGCCCTATGAGGGCAGCCGCTGCGAGGTCCACTGCTGAGCCGCGCCTCTGCACCCCGCGAGGGCCGCTCCGCCCGCCCATGCCCTAACACCCCTCGTGTCTGCAGGTGCCGTCCAGCACGCACAAGAAGGAGCTCCTGGAGCACCTGGACCGCGTGCCCACCTACGTGCAGCAGCTGCAGTTCACCGTCAAGAACTCGACGGTCGGCAAGGCGGCCACGTTCACCAAGGTGGACAACGTGATACACGAGACTAAGAACCTTATGAATGTCATATCCAAGGTGGTCACCACGTGCTTCGTGTGCGCCACTAAGGTGAGTAGTGTCGTCTGTTTTGTTGTGATTTTTCAGTTTATTAATGTGCAGACTGTATTCATACATGGTTTTATCAATATTACGACAGTGAATGCTTTCCCTAGAGTTCGCTGAACTTATACCGGTTGGTCCACAGACCCCTTCCTTTATTTTGCTTATACTGTACCGCATGCACGCGTGCGGGCGGGCTTGCCTACCGTCGCTCACCGCGGCGCCTTATGGCCCCGTGCGAGTATGCAACCCGCCCGCACGCCTGCATCCGGTACAGTATAAGCAAAATAAAGGAAGGGGTTTGTGGACCACCCTGTACCTTCTCCGTTCTCTCCCATTCATTCTTCAGCCCAAACTTTTAACAGTATGCAGCAGCTGCAGTGTAATTAGAAGAAATGCAAATCTGTTAAAAATGATTTCCTCCTCTCGCACACCTTATCCCTGCTAAATCCAAATCCATATTTTATTTTAATTATTTTTTCGGGTCGATAAAATGTGCCCCTCTCCCTGACAGTACAAGCTCGCGATGCCCGAACGCGTCCTTCTGTACTTCAACCAGTCGGTCCCCCCGCCCGGCGGCCCTCCCCTGGCCCCGGGGGCTCCCGCACCGTGGGCCCCCAGGGCCGGAGTCCCCGTGCCCGGTGGGGCCTCGCAGCGGCTTCCCAGCAACCGAAGCCAGACTCTGCCGCGCTGACCGAGCGCTGACCCGCAGGCCGCCGGGCCTCGGGCAGGCTAATGGTACAGGCATGTGTGTGTGCGTGTTTCTTCCCGGGCGCCTGTCATCGAGCAGATAGGCAACCCGCTCGTCGCCGCTGCCGCCTGTTTGCCTAACCGCGTGCGTTTGGCGTCTGGCCGACATTAACTGCATGGATGTGTTGCAATGACTCATACTCTGATGATTTCTCCCGACATACAGGTCCTCTCAGCATGGAACTCTAACATTGTATTGTCTTGTCTACTCTTATTTTCAAGTGTTTGTTTTTGTTGTTTGTTTGTTTTTTATTTTTACTAAAATGAAATTTGTTAACAAAGTCAAGGGTGCCAGCCACCCCACCAAGAGTGTGCCCGAATTCTCAATCGTTCCGTTCCCATTAGGTTGGAATGAGTCGGAATGGTAAAGCAGAGGGAGGATTCTGATTCATTCGAAACGGAACAATTGAGAATTCGGGCGTACTAATACAAACAAAATTTTCTTCTTGTCTTAAATTATTATTTTTCG